AATACAGATCCTCCTCCATGGCTCACCCCAGCAGGAGCACTTCCTTCCAGACTGACATCTCACATTTCACTTGCTTTGGACAGAAACTGAGATTTAGGGAAAGCTGTGCTAGGCAGGGGCTGTGCCGGATCCTCTCCCTCCCCACCCCACTGCAACCCACAGCTGCTTGCCAGGATGAGGGAGTGAGAGATGGAAGGTGTTCACAGTGATGAGAAGGAAAATGTGGGACAGAGGGACAAAGGGAAAACATTTGTCACCGATCACAGTCCCTGTCCCCAAGGTCACGCCCTGCAAGAAGAGCTCGGCAGGGACTGTGACTCATCCGGAGGGCTCTGGCCATGGGCAGCACAAAGGATGGGACTGCGGCACTACCAGCACATCCCATCCCAGCCATCCCACAGTGTTCTTCCAGTCCTCCCAGCACATCCCATCCCAGCCATCCGCAGTGTCCTTCCCACCCCACCATGGCACCTCCAGCAGGTGTTTGGGTCATTCCAGATGCTGCCACCTGTGCCCAGGCAGGTGAGCTCTGCGGGTCAGGGATGTGATGGAGCTTGGGAAGAGGCAGCAGTGGCAACAAATTCAGCAGGAAGCCCCCAGCCTGTTGGGGCAGCACTTGGCTCCCCATCATCCCCTCACTGGCCCTGGCCTGGCAGACTCCAGGGATGTGCCCAGAGACGGGTTCTAGCAGAGGCTGAGCTGAACCTGACTCCTCCACAAGGAATAACTAAAATAAAGGAGTGCGGGCAGCCCCTCTCCCACAGGGTGTGATACTGGCACATTCCTGGCAGTACAAACCCACCACTTCGCTGATTCCTCAGCATTCTCAGATGTGGAGCAGAGCAGGACAGGGCTTGTGCTCGCCCCTCTCCACACTATGATTCCCAAACTAGCTGATAAATTAAAACAGCCTAATAAAACCATCTGAAATAAATACTTTCTCAGGCATCAAACCAAACCCAAAACGTCAGCATGATGAGCCGTGACCTAGCACTGCAGGAGATGTCCAACCCTCCGAGTCATTCCCCAGGTTTGGGTGGGAATGTGTCCTGGGGTGTAGCAGAGCTTCAGCTCCGGTTTCTCATCTTGGAGAGATACAGTGTGACCCGTAAAGAGGGCACTGATGGAAGGAAGGCTGCTTGCAGAAGAGGAGCTGGGCCCAGCCGAGGGGGATGTGACTGGCTCCACAGCTGCTCCTGCAGTGAGGACACTGTCACCTGCGGTGGGAGCAGGGGATGGTCACAGCCAGCCAGTGTTGCCCCAGCTGCTGTTCTGCACAGCTGGCCAGGGGTTGGGCATCCCCTGGGGCTCCAGGGGGAATGCTGAGGCCAGTTCCTCTGTGACTCTTCAGGGTCCCCAGGGAAAACTGTGCTCGGGCTCTCCCTCCAAACCAAGATATGTTTGTTCAATCCCGTGGCTGGCCCTGATCACCCACATGATCCAGCTGCAACCATGTGGGATCCGCCTGGATCCATGGCTTGGTAGGGCTGGTTCAAACCTGGGATACAGAAGCCACCAAGGTGAGGCTGGGAACATGGTGTGGGTACTGGGGGCGTGGTGTCCGGTGCAGGGTCATGGTGTGGGGCGCAGGAGCACAGTGTGGGGTGTGTGAGCCTGCTCTGGGGTGCAGCAGTGCAGCATGGCACGTTTTAGTCCGAGGGAGCCGCTGGCTTTGGACCTGGGGGGAGGCTTCAGGCTCCGGACTAGGGAGGCTCTGGAGCTGGGGGAGGGGGTCAGGTTCTGGATCCCGATGCAGGTCAGGTTGTGGACTGCCCCCATCCCCTCCCATCACCCCCCCTCCTCTGCCCACATGGCGGGTCACAAGGAAACCCCTAATGCTTGATTGATTAATTAATTATATCTGATTTATCTGCCGCACCCAGCTGATGACTAGAGCTCTGGAGAGCTTGCAGGCAGCTCCCCACGGTCCCTCACCAGGGCACAGCGCACAGAGCCCCCCAGCCCTCACGCAGCTCCCACGAAGCATCGGGGGGTCCCACACTGGGAAACGCTGGGGCACTCTGGGGCGGGAGGCGAAACGGGACCTGCCTGGGATGGGACTGGCCCATGGAGTCACAGCCCTCCTCCCCACTGCACTTCACGCCCCCCCAGGGGCACTTTGCCGCTGTGAACACGGGAGGCCCTACCCGGGTCCCCCACCGCTGGCTGGTCCCAAACACCGTGAAACTGTCCCCAAACTTTGGGCGCGGCCCGCGGGGACCGGCCGGCTGCCGCCCTGACCCCCCAAACCCCAGGGTGCTGCCCGACCGCGACCTCCTGAGCATCTCTCCCACGCGCGATTCCGCCGCGGGGTCCCCCCGCACTGCTTACCCCCTCCCGCAACAGGTCAGGACCCCCTCCGCGCCCTCCCCGCAACTTTCCCGGAGGAGAAAGTTTGCGAGCGGCCACGGGGAAAGTTCTCGGGGGGCTTTCATGTGGAGGGGTGGCCCCACGCGCGGAGCGAGGAACCCCCTCGTCCTCCCCGCTCCTCCCGGTACCTCCCGCCGCCATCGCTCCCGTCTCCGTCGCGCAGGGGAGGAAGGCGGCCACATCCCGGTGTCCCCGCTGTTGTCCCTCCCCCGCTGTTGTCCCCCTCGTTGGGAGAGTTTAAGGGGCACGGGGTGGTCCGGTGAAGACTCACCGGCGGCTCCACGGGGCGGCGGCGGCGGCTCCGGGCCCGGCACTGGGTGCGCAGGAAGGAAGAAGGAGGGAATGAGGCAGGGCTGACGTGAAGGGATGCAAAGCAGCTCCTCCTAACTCGCCCGCCCTTCATCTTCCTCCCCCTCCCCAACTTGCCCGACCACCGCAAACGCCCCCCCGTGCAGCAGCATCCTCCACCCGCGCCGGGGCCGCCCTCGGTACCGGTCTGGGGGGACAAAGAGGGGGCGACAAAGAGAGGGGGACTGGGGGTGGGGGTGGTCGATGGGGACCCCCATGCCCTAACCCCTCCAGCACCCCAGGGGTCATTTTCTATTTCCCCCTTCTTTTCTTTTTGAGAGGTTATCACCCCACAGAGTGATAGTGGGAGTGGGGAACGCCCTTCCCAAGGGACCCATATCCTGGTTGGGCATTGCTCTCCTCTGCTGTGATGGTGGGAAAGATCATGTACACCCCAAAAAGCTTGGAGGGGTTGATAGTAAGGAACTCCCTCCCCACAAAAATGGGATTAATGGAACTGGGGATGTTACAGGAATTGGAGGGTTTTGGGGGGTTGCTGTTCACCCCCACAAGGAGGTGGAGGGAGAGGCTGGGGTCTGCAGGGGTGGGGTGACAGGAGGTGACCAGTCCCCAAAGGGAGGGAAGGGGACGGGATGTGGTGCGCGAAGGGAAGCTGGTGGTCCAAGAACTGGTGGTGCCGTTGGCTCCCCCAAGAACGTGGAGGGAGACGTTGACCTACATGGCCGTGGGGATGTGGTAGCGGGAGGCAGCCGATCCCCAAAGGGAGGGATGGGGATGGGATGTGGCGTGGGAAGGAGAGTGAGTGGCAACGGCCAAGGGTCTGCGGGCTGCAGGCTCCGGCTCCCATCGTGAGGAGAAGGAGGAGGAGGAAGAGGAGGAGAAGGAGGAGGAGGAGGAGGGTCTCCTCCCCATGGAGGAAGGAGCACGCGGAGGCAGCCGGGATTCGACTGGTGCGTCGGGAGGTTCTCATCTCCATGGAAGCAGGTGGCGCCGGCCAGACTAATCGCAGCAGAGTTTGTCTCCACACGCAGCCCTTTGTCTGGGCGCACTTCTGCTTTTCTGATTCTTTTGTATTCTCAGTGATAACCGAGCTCCCCGCTCCGTCCCCGCTGCCGGTGCTCACATCCCCCGCGCCTGTCGGAGGGCTGCCCAGCACTCCTTCACGTCCCTGCCGGGGCCCTTCGGAGTCCGGACCCGGCGGCGTCACCGCTCCCCAAACCGCCACTTCCCTGCCCAAGTTCCCAGCCCGGCCTCGCCCCACGCGGCCCGCGAACGGCTCTGCCTGCGTAAATATTTACAAATACGGATGGAAAGAGACGCGGCACGGGGAGATTCGCTCCTCTGAATTCCCGCGGGGCCCCCAGCCGGGGCTGCACCCGGACCGGGCAGCTGGCGGGGCACGGAGCGGGACATGGAGCAGGATAGAGATGGGGCATGGAGCTGGGCACAGCGCCGGACACAGGCAGGGCGCGGGCAGAGCCAGGCGGGGAGCGAGACCCCAGTCAGGACTCAGGGCCCGGGGCTCAGAGATCAGGGCTCAGGGGTCCTGGCTCAGGGATCGGGGTTCAGAGATCGGGGCTCAGGGGTCCTGGCTCAGGGATCGGGGCTCATAGATCGGGGCTCAGGGGTCCTGGCTCAGGGATCGGGGCTCAGGGATCGGGGCTCAGGGGTCCGGGCTCAGGGACCAGGGCTCGGTCAGGGAACAGCTGCGCGTCCGGCCCAGCCAATCAGGGAGCGGATTCAGGAGGATCCAGACACCTCAGCCAATCAGATTGCGAATCCACATGCCTTAGCCAATCAGACCGTGGAGGTTGGCGGTTGCAGCGGCCCGAGCCAATCAGAACGCGCGGTGCCCTGTCCCGCTCCCTCCACGGCCCTTCCCGCTCCCTCTCCCGGTTCCCCCGCGCCCACCGGGGCGTGCACTGACCTATCTCTCCATGCCCGCGCTGTCCCTGGCTCTCTCCCTCCCCGTGCCGGTTCCGCAGAGCCGTGTCCGTGGGCAGCTCCCGGCGCCGTGAGATATTGTCCCGCCCTTTTCTCACACTCCCCAGCACAGGGGGCGTTACTGCGGGCTCTGGCCGGTGTGTGGCCGCGCCGGACTCGAGCGGGGCCGGGCAGGGGCCGGTAAGCTCTGCCCCCGCCGGTGCACCGCGCACGCCTCCTCCGGACAGGCAGGGCTGCTGGCCCTTTAAGCGGGGGCGTGGCCTAACGCAAAGCACCGCCCCCTGGGGCCGCTGCGGTGGCGGCGGGGCTGGTGCGCCCCCTGGCGGCGCGTTCGGTGTCCCGGTGGTCCCGGTGTGTCCCGGCGGTCCCGGTGGTCCCGGCGGTCCCGGGTGTCCCGGTCCGGGCAGGGGTGGCCGATTCTCGTCTCCGGACCTGCCCGTCCTACCCCGCCGCGGGCCGCGAGGAACCGCCCATCGGCAGGCCCCAGTGCAGCCGCGCGGTCCCGGGGAGCCCCCGCCCAGGAGCGGCTCTGAGGTCTCCCCGAGCCTAGCCCCGCAGCCCGGGCCGTCCCGAGCCTCGGCGGCTCCGCAGGGTCCCCGCGGGGCTCAGCCCACCGGGCCGGGCCGCAGCGCCGCCGCCGCACTTCCGGGGCTGCTCCCGGTGCTGCTGCCGGTGCTGCTGCCGGGCCTCCTCCCGGCCCGGCCCGACTCGCCGCCGGGATGATCAACGCCATCCTGGTGTTCAACAACCACGGCAAGCCGCGGCTCGTCCGCTTCTACCAGCACCTGGTGCGGGGCCGGGACCGGTGCGGGGCTCGGGGTGTTGTGGGGCTGGGGGGCTGGGGGGCCCCGCGCCGGGGCGGTCGCTGCGGGCTGGCGGAGCCCTGCCCGTGCCCCGGGGTGCCCTTCGCGGTGCCCGGGCTGGCTCGGGGAGCCTGCCGCCCGGAGCCGCCGGATCGCGGAGCCCCGGGGGCAGCGCGGGCCGCGGGCCCCGCGGGCGGGACGGGCACCCACGGGTGTCCTCCGCTGTGTTGTGCCGGCAGGCGGAGGAGGCCCAGCAGCAGATCATCCGCGACACCTTCCACCTGGTGCTGAAGCGCGATGACCACATCTGCAACTTCCTGGAGTGCGGCAGGTACCGGCCGGGGAGGGCTGTGCTGGCCCGGGGAGCGCCCGGCCGGCCCCCCCAGAGCCCTTCAGCTCTCCCCCTGTCCCTACAGCCTGTTCGGCGGCTCGGACTACAAACTGATCTACCGGCACTATGCCACGCTCTACTTCGTTTTCTGCGTGGACTCCTCAGAGAGCGAGCTGGGCATCCTGGATCTCATCCAGGTGTGTCCCTGCAGGGTCCCATCTCTGGGCACCACCCCGACACCTTTCAGGTGCATTTCGTGCCCGTGGTGTCCCTGTGCCAGCCCTGGGAGGCCTGAGGAGCCGCTCAGGGGCCGCAGGGGGAAGGGGAGGCTGCACCTGCCCTCTGAGCCTGTACGTAACTGCTCCGCCTGGGGGCACAGGGTGAAGCCAACCCAAATGGATGGCTTTAAAAAACAACCATAGAGTCATTTAACGGTGGAAAAGACCCTTAAGAGCATCAAGTCCAAAAGTTAGTCCTCGTACCGTAGAATCCCAGGTTGGCAGGGACCTCAGATATTGTCTGGTCCAACCTTTCAGTTCAAAGCACAGCGTAGACAAGGCGCAGCAACTTGGACAGATGCACCTGAAGGTGTCCAGCATCAGGGAATACAATTACTTCCTCTATAAGATTATTCCAATGGCTGAGTGTTTTGTTTGGGAAAATTTTTTTCTCTCGTGTCTAACTGGAATCTCCCCAAGAGGAACTTGTATCAATCACCCTGTGACTTTCCATATGACTCCTTGTATGAAGGAAGTTTTCAGCTTTTTAGCCGCCCTTTAAACATCAGGACATGGGGAGAAGGTCCCCCCTGGGCCTTCTTTTCTCCAGGCTGAGCCCCCCCAGTTCCCTCAGCTGCTTCTGGTTCTCCAGCCCCTTCCCAGCTCCGTTCCCTTCCCTGGACACACTCCAGCCTCTCAATGTGTCTCGTGTCAGAGGGGCCCATGACTGGACACAGGGGTTTCTCAGCAGTGCCAGCACAGCCCAGGGGCCATTGGCCTCCTTGCCCACCTGGCACACTTGGGCTAATGTTCAGCTGCTGTCACCAGCAGCCCCAGGGCCTTTTCCATCTTTCCAGCCACTCTGCCCCATACCTGGAGCATTTTGTGGGACTGTGTGACCATCTTGCCTGGTCTCTATCCTGACTGTCCTTTCTGCTGCCCCAGGTGTTTGTGGAGACACTGGACAAGTGCTTTGAGAATGTCTGTGAGCTGGACCTCATCTTCCACATGGACAAGGTGGGTGGTGGGCTCCATGCTGCTCCAGAGCCTCTGTCCCACAGACAGGAGCTGGCCAGGAAAGTGTGGGAGCGTCAGGGGTCACTGTGTGGCCAGGGATTGTGATCCTGGGCAGGAAGATTTCAGCCTGAGGTCTAAAAAGCTGTCCTCATCGTGTTCTCGCAGCACGAGGTGCGAGTGCTGGGCTGTTCTGAGCCCAGGGGTGAGCTGTGCCCAGCCATGGGAGTGTCCCAGGGACTGCCACGGGCACCAGCTGACCACAGCCAAGTGACAGGGACCTGCTCTCCAGGGCTGTGCTGCTGGAACTGGGCAGGCTCTGGTGTGGTGCTGGGGCGTTCTGCCTCTGCCCTGAGCTGTGACACCCCTTGGGAGTTAACATTTTACTACAGCTGCAGGGAAAAAAAAGGGAAGGAACAATGGCTGCAGGAAAAAAAGTGAACGAACAATGGGAGTGTTTGGAATTCGAAGTGCTGGGTAAACTTTGGTTTGAGCCACAGCCTGCAATGCTTCCTCTTGAGCTGGACTGAGTTTCTGGGCGGAAACCCATCCCCTTTGATCATCTCATGGGTCATGAGGCTGAAGATAGCCAAGAATAGATAGCCGGGAATAGGCTTGGAGCAGGGACAGGCTTGGCTGAGGGTGCTGGCCTTGTGTTGCTGTTGATCAAGATTTTCTTGCTTTGCTGAAGACAAAAGCATGTCCACAAAAAAGAACAGTGGGAAAAAAAAGAGTAAAATGTCCCCTTTCTGTTGGTGATTCCAACTTGGGAACTGGCAAGGAAGGGAGTGAGCAGGTCTGGGGCGTCACAGGGAGAGGAAGTGAGCAGGTCTGAGGGGTCACAGGGAAGAGGAATGAGCAGGTCTTGGGAGTCTCTGTGTTCCCAGCTGCTTTCCAGTTGAAGCTTTGGTTTTACCGTTTGCCTGGCTGTGACCTTCCCGAAATGCCACATGATTATGTTGTCAGCAAAAGCGTTTATCAAGTGTTTATCAAAGGAGGAATGAGGGAGGAGCAGCTGCAGGAGAAGTGGTGGCAGTTGCCCAGGTCACCCCTGCCCACAGTGGGGGGAGGATGTGCTCATGGGGTCTGAGCCTGTGGCATGACCAGGACCTGGCAGCTTTTCCCTCAGCCTTTACTCTCAGTTCACACTGAGCCCTACAGCCAGGCTGCAGCCCCAGGGCAGGGCACCTCACCCCATTGCCTGTCAGCTTTGCCAGCAGGAGCGGGGTCATCCTTCCTCTGACCTCTTCTGCCTGGAAGAATGTTCAGGAGGCAGGAATCAGGGGGTTCTGATAGGGGAGACCCTACAACTCAGTCATCCCAGACTCTCCCAGCCTTGTTTTCTTCCTGTCCTGTGCTCCTGCCACTTCCAAGCTTTGACTTTAGTCTTGGCCACTGTCAGTTGGCCCTCCAGTCTCTTTCTATATTTGGCACATGTTTATTTCTTGGATGTGCTCATGTTCCTGTGCTTCCAGGAGCTTGGTCACAGAGGGACAGTGTTTGGGGCGCTGGGAACATGCCAATGTGTCCTACTGGGCTCTGGTTGCACCCCTTGGATGCCCTGGCAGGGCTGTGAGCCCAGGCAGGTACTGGCCCCGCGCAGGGGCTGGCTGTGAGTGTCTCCCCAGACAGGGGCTGGCAGGGGTTCAGGTGCAGATTTGGCTGCATCCTGTGATTTCTCTCTTTGCCTTAAGATTCACCTTGCACTACCTGCAGCACAGGGGCTGTGGCACCAGAGCTGCTGCAGATCTGGAGCCCTGTGCCTGCTGTGGGCAGATGGAGGGGGACATTGTTTGGGCACCAGTGACATCAGTGCTTTTAGCTGAGCTTTGGGATCCCCAACCTCCGAGCTGCAGGGCCTCCCTGTCACATGGAGGAGCTCAGGGGGGAGCTTTGCCCACCTCCCAGTCATGCTTCCCACTTTGGAGAGGAGTATGAGCTGCACTCAGCAGCTGTGGGGTCCCACAGGGGACACGGATTTCTCAGGAAGGGCTGTGCTTTGGCCTGGAAAACAAAGCTTGCTCAGGATTTCTGCCCCATTGGTGTTGGGCCAACTTGGGCCGAAGCCAGACCTTGAAGGAACATTTCCTGATGCTCCCAGATGCTGCTGGGCCATGGGGGCCGCTCGCTCCGGCCAGCACGGTGTGTGCTGGGGGTGGGCTGTGGGATGGGGGTCCCCGGCCTCTGGAAGTCCCGGGAGCTGCCATGGTACCTGAGGCTCACCCTGTGCTGTGCTGATCCCGCACACCTCGCTGCTCTGGGCACTGTCAGAACAGGATGGCACCTGAGGAGCCCTCGGATGCATCGACTCAGCGTTGGCACAGAGTTTGGATTCCCCCTCGGAGCAGGTTCTCTCGTTGTCTTTATTCTCCCCAGCATTGCCCTGGCAGTGTTTGCCACTTGGTGTTTACAAGTGCAGCCCCATGAAGCCATTAAACAATCTCGTAACCTGACCGTGCTCCTGCACAGCTTTCATGGAAGTAACTGGGACCCATAAATCCATTATCTGTGCTGGGAGTTCAGCAGGAGCTGCTGACTCTGCAGGGAATGCCTGGCTGAGCTGGATGCTGGAGTTGAGGGTAGTTGCAGCCACCAACACAGCCTGGCTGCCACCCTGGGGCTGGTTGGGATTTCTGAGATTGCAAACCATGAGTGGCCCTTTCCCTGCCATGGCTGTATGATTCCACCAGCCTCCCTTGGCTGTTCATCCTCGGACCTAAGGAACCCCAGGGAAGGAGGAGACTCCCTTGGCTTTTTTGTGCTTTTTCTGTGCTTTTTCTGTGCCTGTGTCACAGTCCTGTATTTCCTAAGAGACAGTGGAGAAGCCAGGCTTTTTTTCCCTTCCTCCCTCCCTGTTAGGTTCACCACATCCTGCAGGAGATGGTGATTGGTGGGATGGTGCTGGAGACCAACATGAACGAGATCGTGGCACAGGTGGAGGCCCAGGGCAAGCTGGAGAAGGCAGAGGTGAGCAGTGATGCTGTGGCTTTGTCCCATGGGGCTGATGGACCCTGGGCTGCGAGGGGAGCTGGCCTGTGAGGCCTGGCGTGGGCGTATGGGGGAGATATCTGGGCTATCCCCAGTCTCTGCCTGCCCGAGCCCTCGGGGTGGGGCTGGGGACATCAGCAGTGATGCTGTTCAGGAGCAGGAGGAGCTGCCCAAGCATGGAAGTGGCTTTTCCCATAAGGTTAATGACCTGAGGCAATAAAAGGTTTATTGCCCTGTTTGCATTGTCACTGGTAAGCTGCAGCTGCCGGGGTGCTGTGGGGCAGGGGCCAGTGATCACAGTCTCTCTGTCCCCAGGGAGGCCTCTCGGCGGCTCCTTCCCGTGCTGTGTCAGCCGTGAAGAACATCAACCTGCCCGAGATCCCCCGCAACATCAACATCGGGGACATCAACATCAAAGTGCCCAACCTGTCGCAGTTCATGTGAGCGGCCCACGGCAGGGGCCGAGCAGAGCTGGGGTCCCTGGCTCCTCTCAGGGCACTGCCCGTGTGGTGCCCAGGGGCCAGTTTTGCCAGGATGCCTGGGCTGGCCGAGGGCAGGGAGCAGTGGCAGGGCTCGGAGAATGGCATGGAAGGTCTCTCCCCCTGGACCTGGGCTCAGTTCTGCTCTCTGGTCCCTCAGCAAGGAGGGTGCCCTTTCTTCCCCTCTCTCCCCACGGAAGTGCAACCTCTCCTCGCTGTGGGGAAGAGCCGGTTCCTGCCTCTCCCAGGATTCTTGGGGTCCCCAGTGGTAAATGCATGCCTGTAGTGACAGCTTCTTCAGGAGCTGCAGGTTGTCTCCTCTATCCTCCTGGCCACGGCTGTCCCCTGCCCTGGTCCTGCTCACTGGGACGGGCCCCAGCTGGGTGGGGGCCACTCCTGGGAGCTGCTGCAAGCCCTGGGGACAGCGAGAGTGGGGACATGGCAGCGAGAGGGATGGGAGCTGAGTGAGCTGAGGGATGAGCAGGTGGCAGCTCACAGGGTCAGGCCAGGCAGGAGCTGCTTGAGTGTGTTCCTGTGTCTCAATAAACTGCCCTTGAACCTGTGTCTGTGTCTGCTGTGGGTGCTGTTGCCCAGGCCCCAGGGGGAATGCCAGGAGTAGGCCAGGGGGCTCTGGGCAGCTGCAGCCCTGGGGGGCTTTTGGCTGGGAGAAGCCTATGAGGTGGAAAAGGGGGCCCAGAACATCCCAGGGGAGGGTGGGGGGCTTCGGGCAGGGTCTCTGGCTGCAGTCTCCGCTTCTGGAGCAGGTGGAGGGAGGGTGATGGCCCTGTTTGGGCTGTGACAGTGACATTGACATCCCTGGCTTTGGACGTTTGTGGCATGTCACCCCCTGCCAGTGTTCCTGCCCTGTCCCTGCTGCAGAACATCTGGGCAGAGCAGCCATGAGCCCTGGTGGCTTGGTGGGTATGTGGGGGGCTGTGGGACTGGGGTCCCCTGAGGCCAGGGGTGAGCATGTCTGCTCCTGGGGGCCACAGTGACCTCCAGGCTCCTCCAGCTGCATGCCCCACGCCCCTGGCTCCACTGCAGCTCCATCTGGCCACCAGCCCCCGAGGCTGGCTGAGGGCCCTTCCTCTGCTCCCCAGCTGTGCTCTGGGCTCTGCATCCACTTCCCCTGGCAGGGAAACCGTGACTCTGCCTGGAAGGAATTTTCCTGTTGTTTCCCCTCCCTGCAGCTTAACCCCTCCCCGGCTGGCCACCAGCCACACCAGTGCTCCTGGAGGTCAAGGAGCTGGGCAACCTGCTGAGTCTTCTCTGCTGGCCCTCCTCCTTCTCCTCTTCCTCCTCCTCCTCCTCCTGCCAGGACAGGCAGTGAAGGGTGCAGGTGAGTGGCGTGTGGACCATGTCCTGGGTCTGGGACTCAGGGTCTCGCAGCACTGGGATGGTTGGAGGGGAAAGCTCTGGCTTGCCCCGGGGCGAGGTGCTGGTATCCCACTCTGTGCCAGGCCGGAGGGCACGGTGGGCCAGGGGGCGGCTGCCGTGGGTCTGGTCCCGCACTGCAGAACCCCACTGCCGGTGGGGGATGTGTCCGGCCACACGTGCTTCCTCCACGGCTCCGGTAGCGGCTTCTTGCCCAGTCCCGGTCTGGCCGGTGTCTCAGCCCCGCGGCTCTGCAGGAGGCTGGAGACCGGGACCGTGCTGGGGGAGCCCCTCTGCCGCCCCGACCTCGGTGGCGGTGGCTCGTGCGGGAGCTGTGAGAGCCCGGGGCTGGCGGCGACCCCGTGCTCCGAGGGGCTGCAGGGGGTTACCGGACCCCTCCCTCACCCCGGAGCGAGCTGGGGGGCCGCAGCGTGTGCAGGGCAGGGCCTGCCCGGGGTCTCAGCGCTCCCTCTCAGAGCTGCCTGCGTGGTCCGGAGATGGGAGATGGGGCTGGATCCTGGGGATGACTCCCGGCCCCAAGCCCACTGTCCGCCCCCGTCGGGCTGTGCTGTGACACTCAGGGGTGCCGGGCTTTGCTGGGCTCAGACGGGGTTTGCCTGCCACAGCATGTTCCCAAATTCAGGCCTCCTCTCCAGCACCTGGGAGTGCTGCACCCCGAGCACAGCCCCGTGCCTGTCCACAGGGAGCGTTGCTGAACCCCTGCTGCCAGGGCAGGGGCTGCCAGGTGTGGCTGGAGTACAGGGGGGCGGGCCGGGGAGCTGAGTGGGGGCATCCCGAGCAGGGACACCGTTCGCGGGGTGCCGGGGTGCTGCAGGGGCTGTGGGGAGGGGGCACAGCCCGCTTAGTGATTGCCAGGTGATGGTTTGTCCCCTTCTTGCCACCCCCGTGATGACCGTCCTGGCCAGGACTGGTGTGACGGAGAGGACCCCCAGCAGGACCCCGGGGAGCTCCGGGCTGTAGGGGCTGGATGGGTGCGGGTGGTTCAACGCAGGAAGGGCACCGGACGCGCACGCCCGGCTAACGCCTCCGGGCTGGGGCGGTGGGGGTCCCACAGCCCCCGGAGTCCTGAGGGTCGTCGCAGGGGTCCCGCAGCCCCGGGCGTGTTGCAGCCGTGAGAGTCCCTTAGTGCCGGGGGTCGCCTTCTGCTCGGGGACGGAGACACCTTCTCCCCACACGAAGCTGCCTCCTCAGCCTGGTCCAGCCCATGTGTGCCCCACCCCGCTGCCCCGAGCCGTGCCCCCGCCCCGCCGGCCAGCAGCCGTGGGGCTGAGGGGGCGAGAGCTCGGTGTTCCTGCTCTGGAGGAAACTTTCCTCCTCCTGGAGCTGAAAGCACGGAGCTGAGACGGACAGAGCGGGGTGCAGGCAGGGGGACCGGAGGGGTGCAGGCAGGGTGCAGGAAGTGCGGGCAGGGCGGGCAGGACCCCGCTGCTCCTCACTGCCCACGGCGGAGCGCAGGAGGTGAGTGGGGGTTCTACCGCCGCGCAGACCCCGGGGCTGGGGGCAGACCCCGAGCTGGGGGGTCCGGGGGGTGGGTTGGAACGGGCCGAGTCGGGGAAGGGACCGTGGAGGTGCAAGGGGGCCGGCAGGGGCTATGGGGTGTGGGGCGAGCAGAGGCGTTCACATACATGGGGTTTATGGAGCCGTATTCAGTGGGGAGGGTTGAGGGGTCTGGGGGAGTGCATGAGGATGTGGGGGCTCTGGGGTGTGTCAGGCTTTGGGGCTTGTGGGGCCAGAGCCTCAAAGGACTCATATGGGTGATGCCCAACATCTGTGCTGTGTATGGGACATGGGACACGTGTGTGCACTGCTGTGTGCTCTGTGGAGGGGGCTTTTGGGGGGGCAGGATCCTGCAGGCACTGGGGGAGTGGCTGTAGGTACTGCAGGGCAGTGCAGAAGCCTGAGGAGGGGTCTGGCTGGAGGTGACAGGGATCAGCGCTGGGGCGAGCGGGAGTGGGTGCCTGGGTGCCATTCCTGAGGGGCTGTGGGGAGGGCCAGTGTGCCCATCAGTGCAGGATGGAGCGTGTGCAGGGTGCCTGGCACCCTCCCAGCCAGCTGTAGCCCCTGGTCCTGGGGGCCTGTCCCCATATCCATAGCCTTTGGCCAAAGCCAGGGCAGGGATCGGGCTGAGCTAGCCAGCGGTGGCCACTGGGCCAGGGGATGGCCTGGCTGTGCCAACCAGGGGATGCCAGGGATGCTGCAGCATCTGGAGTGATTTGTGCCAAGCACAGTGATCCCTGTGGGTGTAGTTGGGTGTTGTAAAGGACAGGGCAGGGCTCCCTGAGGACACCACTTGCCCTGTCCCAGTTTGCCCTTTGCCTCAGCTGTGGCTCCTGGCAGCACCTACCCATGTCACTATCGCCTGGATCTTGGGAAAAGGATCTATTCCCATTGTATGAGAGGACGTGTCACATCCCCACCCTGCCCTGAGTGGGAACCTTGCATGTGCCCACTGGGGCTGGGCTCACCAGGATGGAGTTTGACCCTGCTGCTGCCAGGTTCATGACCCTGGACTTTGAGAGGGCTGTGGGCAGGGGGGGCTCCTCCCAGGCTCTCTGTGCACTGCCAGACCTCTGCGCTGATCCCCATGGCCTCCACTTTCTCTGGTGGGGGAGCAGCCTATCAGCTGTGCCCCTTGCTGGCAGCGGGTAGCCTGGGACCCCCCAACAGCAGTTTGCAACCTGTCACTCGAGAGCAAACGGGGTGACACTGAGCCCGCTGAAGGTGACACCCACTGTGCCCTGCATCGTGGTGGGGATGTGGCTGTGCCCACCCACTCTGTGCTGCTTTTGCAGGGCCAGGCCAGTGCTAGGGAGGGACCCTGGGGGTCCTGGCCCACAGCTCACACCCGCTCCCCGATGGTGTGACCCCCGCCCCCCATGCCACCAGCTCTGCCCCTGCTTGCAGCAGCGCTGGGTGTTGGTGCTCCTGCCAGGCTGGGGGGTGGGCAGGTGGAAAGATCATGCCAGGGGCTGCCGCCGCCCTGAGCCCCATGGCCATTTAATCCTTCACCCATTAACTTGGACTAATAAACCTCATGGGAGCAAGAGGCTAAAAGCCGCGCCTGTGCCAGCGTTGCCTCCACCAGCTCTGCTCCTGCTGCCTGCCATGGCGGCCGGCTTCTTCATCAGCAAGAGCGTGGGCATCGTGGCCATCGTGCTGGGCCTGGGGGCCGTGGCCACCATCATCGCGCTCTCAGTGGTGTATGCCCAGGAGAAGAACAAGGGGACGCCACATCCAGACACCAACAGCACGGCCGGCCCTGGCACCACCGTCACCACCACCCCCGACCCCAGCAAACCCTGGAACCGCTGGAGGCTGCCAACCACGCTGAAGCCAGAGATCTATGAGGTGTCCCTGCAGCCCTTCCTGACGCCCGATGACAACAACATGTACATCTTCAAGGGCAACAGCAGTGTGGTCTTTGTCTGTGTGGAAGCCACCAACCTCATCCTCATCCACAGCAACAAGCTGAACTACACCATGCAGGGCTCCTTCCACGTCACGCTGCAGGCAGAGGGTGACGGCAGAGCCCCCTCCATCTCCCGCACCTGGTTGGAGACCCTCACCCAGTACCTGGTGGTGGAGCTCACCGCTCCCCTGCAGCAGGGCCAGAGGTACCGGCTGTCCAGCAGCTTCACTGGGGAGCTGGCTGACGACCTGGCTGGGTTCTACCGCAGCGAGTACACCGAGTCAGGCATCAAGTAGGTGGAGGGCAGGGGACAGTGTGAGGGGCACAAGGCTGGCCCGGGGTGGCATTGGGAAGGGGAATAGATGGTACAGGGCAGGCACAGGGTGGGCACAGGGTGGGAAGGCACAGACTGGCTTTGGGGCTCCTCTTATCCCCATGCTGCCCCAGCAGGGATGGGAGCAGGGGAACTGGGGGGTGTAGCTTCTGCAGGGACCCCTGGCACTGACAGGGTTGGCTTCCAGGTATGTGGTGGCGACAACACAGATGCAGGCGGCCGACGCACGCAAAGCCTTCCCCTGCTTCGATGAGCCGGCCATGAAAGCCAACTTCACAGTGACACTGATCCACCCCTCCAACTACACAGCCCTTTCCAACATGCCTGTCAAGAGTGAGTGGGGTGGTGGGATCCCAGTGGGGGGCTGGGGGCCTGGCAGGGCTGCAGGGTGACCCTTTGCTCCCTGCAGGCAGCCGGCAGGAGAT